GCTGATCTCTAACACCCTCCCCACCCCCCACCCCCCAAGAAACAACAACAAAAACTGGCAGGCATCTCATGAGAGCTAGGGTGTAAGCCAGGTAAGAAATTTTACTTCTCTTTTTACATGTGTTCAAACTTATGGTCAGTTTTTCTTGTGTAATTCTTTTTCTATACATAAGAAATGTTTCTGTTGTTTTATCTCCTTTAGTGATTACCCAAAGATCACTCTTTGCCACAGGTAAGTGATATTCTAGGCTTACCCACTCTGTGGAAAGCAGGATCTGAAAATATGTTTCACAGCTCATACAGGAGGCCATATGGGGCAGACAGATTCCCCTGCTGCAGCTGTGAGGCACAGTACTAAGTGCAGCAGATAGTAGGCTTGAGGGTGGATAAGATTCTTCCTATGCCTGATGAAAGGCATTTGTCCGAAAGCTTGCAAAGAACTATTTAGTAGGTCTAATAAAAGATATCGCAACTACCCAAAGAACGTTGCCTGCCTATGTCCTTAGACCAACATGGCTATAACCAACAACCCTGCAGTATGTCTTACCTTACTGCTTTGTTACCTGGTAAAATGGTAAAATAAGTAAAATGCTCCCTATTCTTTAAACAAAAGTCAGGCAAATTTAGGGCTGTAACTGAGGTGGAAACATGCTTATTTTCTCTGAGGCATGCAGTGCCCAATACAAGACAGAATAATAGTTCCTCTTCTGATGCACCAGCCCACATACGGTAATAACACAAGGAAGAACAAGCTGCTCTCAAAATGCTGTTGAAGCAGATATATTGCTTTTTGGCCACAAGAACTTCAGCATTTAACCCACACTGCTTTTCCATTCTGCATCTACCTTTTTTCTCCCACTTCTCATTTTTGTCTGTCTCACACAATTGATGAAGAAGAAAAAAAAAAAAAAAAAGATGGGGAAAGTTTGCCCAAATGTTGTTTTTTTCAGCAGACATTTCCTGATCTTTTCCAGCAGATTAGGCACATTATAGCGCTCATCCTATAGCCACCTATACCTATTACAACTTCTGCTTCACATATAGTTGCTGATTTGGGGCAAAAAAGGAACTGAATTGTTAATGATTGTGTAGAAGTATGTTTACCATGGAAGTTACTGTATTTATTCAAATCCAATATGGGGAAAAAGAAACCCCTTTCTTAGATTAGAGCAAGGATAGGAAACCCTGGCATACGTGCCAGAGCGCAACATGCAAAGGCATTTTGCTCGGCACACATACCTTGGGGCAGGTGGCAGAGGAGCCACAAGAGGCCTGATCCTTGTTATGGCAGCGCAACCCTGACCCTTTCCCCGCCGTCCATCTGGAGGCATGCATGAACCCGCAACTGGTTACAAGCAGGGCCCAGGCTCCATAGACCCCAATGCAGCTGCTTGGGGCCTGGGCTCTGTGGTGGGTGGCAGGGTCCTGCCCAGAGCCCAGGCTAGCTGTGGCAGGAAACCGGGAGGCTCCAAGCAGCTGCACTGGAATCCAGCAGGTGCACACACACCTCAGTGCAGACGGCATGGAAGGGGCTGGGGTTGTGTTGCCACAAGGATTGAAGCATGCCTCATGCCTCCCCTAGCATGCCAACATCTTACAAATCAAAGTTGCAGGTATTTTTGGCACTCTGCTCAAAAACACTACTGGCCCCTGCATTAGAGCATAGCCTGGAGCAGGTGGTTGCTGTGGCTCCAGCCCCAACCCTGAGGAGACCACAGAGTAGTGATGGGGAAGGAGGGAGGAAGGGCAAGTGTGGCAGAAACTGCAGAGTGCTAGGTGGAAAGTGCAGGGGAGACTGCATAGCAGCAAGGGAATTGATGCATCCCTGGGTCCGGCAAGTAGAGGGGAAGGAAGGCACGCACAGAGGGAGGGTGGGGACAAGTTGTATGGTGGCAGGTACAGGTGGACATGGGTAGGGGGCAGGCAGCTCGCATCCCCACCACTGCTTTCACTACTACTTGCTTTGCCAAAGCAGAGGGGAATGAACTTAAAATGACCCCCCAATAATTAGCTTCTATGCATGGAAGAATTATAGCAAATTTACATGACTTAAAAATTTAAAGTCATCTTGGATTCAGTAAAATACTGTAATTGAACAGGTAGTTTAGAAAACTGCATAACTATAAGCTCATTTCACAAGTTCAATATCTCACTTGAATGCAGCTATTTTCTCATCCTTGTTAAGCTTAAATATTTCAAAATCAAAAGACAAAAGGATTTATATAAAAAAATTCAGAGCTATCAACCATTTATGTAAATGAGAGCTTATGAAATGTAAACTCTTCTTCTCATAAGACCTGCATGCAAAACCGACATTTGGAATTTGCATAATCAATGTAAGGGACTCAAATATAAAAACCATGAAAGAGACTGAAAAATTATTGCAGATTTGTCTGGGTGAGGTAAAAACTGTATTCCATGCAACTGAATTCAAGAACGCATTGTTGCCATGTTAGAAGTAGAAACTGCTAAACTAAAAATATTTTTAAGAAAGGAGTTCTCCAGATGTTTAGTAGATGCTATGGAAAAAATAGCATGCACACAGTGATTTAGACAACATACATTTGAAAAATGCTAAGCAAGTTAAGCAAATATTTTGAGAGTGAAGTACAAAATGCTTATTACATGATTACTTACTAAACTCTACACTGGTTCAATGACAGCAATACCAAGATAAAGTGATCCTCAACCAGAAGAGAAGGGCTCATTCTGTTTGGCAAGATGACACCAACTCAGGAGGAGACATATCAGCTCCTCAGAGTTTAAGGTCAAAGAAGGACCCAGGAAATCAAAAACTGGTGGTTACAAGATAAAGCCAAGGAGTTTGTCAATGTACAGCTGACAATGACATGCATAGTTTCTTCCAGGCATCAAAGCCATCTACAGTCCAACCTCCCATGGTTTTACTTTCCTGAGATCACAGAATGATTCAACACTCTTAAAAAGACAACAAATGTATCCAAAATAGATGGAAAGAGCACTTTGAGGCACTTCTAAACCATGAGCTGATTGTGAGGGATGCCACCACTAGGCGTGTCCAGATAAGCGGGCACGTACCTCTTGCCCCATCTCAAACCCCTTTCCAAATGCCAGAGGACTGGAAAAGGGCCAATGTGGTTCCCATTTTCAAAAAAGGGAGGAAGGAGGACCCAGGAAACTATAGGCCAGTCAGTCTTACCTCAGGTCCTGGGTAAGCTTTTTGAGAGAGTTATCCTGGCGCATGTCCACGAGGGGCCAGCAGGGGAGATTATGCTTAGGGGCAACCAACACAGGTTCATTAGAGGCAGGTCCTGTCAAACCAACCTGGTGGCCTTCTATGGCCAGGTCACAAAATCCTTAGACACAGGTGTAGCAGTGGACATAGTTTTTCTGGACTTTAAGAAGGCCTTCGACACTGTCTCTCACCCCATTCTCATTAAAAAACTAGGGGACTGTGGTGTCGACACCTACACAGTCAAACGGGTCACTAACTGGCTGGAGGGCCGCACCCAGAGAGCGGTGGTGGACGGGTCATTTTTGACCTGGAGGGATGTGGGCAGTGGGGTCCCCAGGGCTCAGTCTTTGGACCCGCGCTGTTCAACATCTTCATCAGCAACTTGGACAGGGGTGTAAAAAGCACCCTGTTCAAATCTGCAGACAACACTAAGATGTGGGGAGAAGTGGGCACGCTAGAAGGGAGGAATAGGCTGCAATCGGACCTGGACAGGTTACAGGGCGGGAGCGGATGAGAACAGGATGGGTTTCAACTCAGACATGCGCAAGGTGCTGCACCTGGGGAGGAAGAACCAACAGCATACCTACAGGCTGGGGAACTCCCTTCTCATCAGTGCAGAGGCAGAAAAGGATCTTGGGAGTCATTATTGA